GAAGGCTAAACTCTCTCAGTTTTGCCAAGTTCCGGTATGTAATATGATTACAAAATAAAACTCAGTATTTCTCTTTGTTTATACAAACATTGTTAAATACGATACAAATCCTTTGCAGATGGAAAACGTTGTCACACTCTATGATTGCCCCAACATTTGGCACATTCCATTGCTTCTCAGAGTGAGTAGCTTTCTCACTCCACCTGAGTTTCTATTAGGGATAATATATCCCACATCGGGAAATCAAAGGGACCTTAAGTACTATATAAAGGGTTAGGGCCAATCCACTTATTACCAATTGGTTTTAAGTTGGAAGCCCATAATAAATCCGAATCTAACATGGTATCAGAGCCCAGATCCTAATGGAAAAAAAAGTCCTAAACTCCTAATTAATTAATTACCCTTCCGACCGGATATATAGGTCGTGTTTAACTTTCCGGCTAGGTATAATTGTCGTATTTGACTCGCTCGACCGAGTATAATTGTGTTAAAGTTTCGAGATTTCTGGCCGATAAGAGCCATCATCTCGAGGAGGGGTATTAGGGATAATATATCCCACATTGGGAAATCAAAGGGACCTTAAGTAATATATAAAGGGTTAGGGCCAATCCACTTATTACCAATTGGTTTTAAGTTGGAAGCCCATAATAAACCCGAATCTAACAGTTTCAAATTTTATGTAACCAAGATGTTTTTGTCACCAGTGTCTTAACATTTTAACTTATTTGAGCAGGAACAAAAGGCACACGAGGCGATTTTGCGTGTCCTGAACCTCAAAGGGTATGTCTCGCTTACTAATATTCTTTGTGTAGATTTGAACATTCATTCATATGCTGATTTTTGTGAGAACCATTATCTGATATTTCTAAATATGACAGAGTAGCCAAGGAGCCTGCACTAGAGGAGTGGTCTTTGATGGCTAAAATCAGTGACAAATTGCATGTTCCAGTATGTTCCGTGGTTCTACCATATGACATTTCAAGCTTAGTTTATCTCTCTGGTTTTCAGCAAGACACTAACTTCATTATTTTCTTTGGGTTTTCAGGTCAGAATTGCTGTGGTGGGGAAATACACTGAGCTCTTAGATTCATATCTTTCCATCCACAAGGTACACCTCACAAGCCCATCTTCTATAATATCTCATTTGGTCAACATTCTTGCATTGGTTGCAGTTTAAATAAAATAAATATTGTGTTGATGACCAGGCTCTCTTGCATGCTTCTGTGGCTAGGCGCAAGAAGCTAGTCATAGACTGGATTTCAGCTAGTGATCTTGAACAAGGGGCCAAAAAGGAGGTATGTATAAACTTCATACTAAGCTCTACTAATTATGAAACCTTAGAAACTGAAAGCAAAATATGATTCCTCTTTGCAGAATCCAGATGCTTACAAGGCTGTCTGGAAGTTACTTAAGGTCTGAACATTCTTTCACTCCCATCAAATGAAATCTCTTATGTCAAGATGAACTTCTCAGTTGATAAAGTCTATGTAACTTTTCTTCAGGGTGCTGATGGTATTCTTGTGCCTGGAGGTTTTGGCAATAGAGGCGTAGAAGGAAAGATCCTTGCAGCTAAATACGCCAGAGAAAACAAAGTTCCATATCTTGGTATCTGTCTAGGTATGCAACTCGCTGTGATAGAGTATGCAAGAACCGTACTCGGTTTGACAGATGCAAACAGCACTGAACTAGATCCCATGACCAAGAACCCTTGTGTTGTTTTCATGCCAGAGGTTTGTTCCCTTCCACAGATTTGTTTTTGCTCGAGTTTCAGTTACTTCACTCTATTTAATGTAATGTCTTGTCTCGAGCAGGGCTCTAAAACGCATATGGGAGGTACTATGAGGTTAGGCTCAAGAAGAACTTACTTCCAAGCTAAGGACTCCAAATCAGCAAAACTGTAAGCATGTTGTAAACAAGTTTTAACATCACGCACCCTAGAGTTAAACTGATTATCTTGTTCTTTGGAGGTGTTTCAGTTATGGGAACAGAAGTTTTGTTGATGAAAGACACCGACACAGATATGAGGTACCTAAGCAACTCTCAGACTATAGTAAAAGCTTTATCTCTTTGACAATTTAAAGCTAAAACATGATGTTGTTATCTATCTATCTCACAGGTTAATCCAGATATGGTTCCACGTTTAGAGAGCTCTGGACTCACTTTCCCAGGAAAAGACGAGTCTGGTCAGCGTATGGAGATCGTTGAGCTGCCAAATCACCCGTTTTACGTTGGAGCTCAGTTCCATCCCGAGTACAAATCAAGACCAGGAAAGCCTTCTCCTCTGTTTCTAGGTAAAAATAAACAAACTCAAAAAGCTCTCTATTTCTAGGTGTAACCCGTATACTTAAAACACCAAACCTTTTTGTTGGTTCAAAACTTGCAGGACTAATTGGAGCAGCATGTGGAGACCTAGACAATGTACTACAACAAAGCTGCCAAGAAACAGCTGTCTCACGTCCTCAATCCAATGGCAAACTAGAGAAAGTTTATTGGAAAAGCCCAGCAGCGAAGAAGCCAGTTAGTGTTGTGTATAGTGTATGCGATCGTGTCTGCTCATGAACGTGTCTGTGATCAAGGATGACTTCGCTCTACAAAAAAAAAAGCTGTTTTATCCGGACTTTTTAACATGGATAAAGAAGAAGTAGAGTAAACACAAGCAAGTATTATACCTTTGTCTTTTGTAATGGGTATTATTATTCAAGAGGTGTCATGGGATTTGACTCTCTGCTGCTGTGTTTCTTATGTAGTAGTTAGTATCATCACTCTTTAGCTTTGTTTGTTTGTTTGTGTCTTTTCTGTTATGGTTTAAACATTTCGAGAGAGGTACCATTATTCTCTCGTATGGTAATGTAGTTTTTATGCTATTCAAATGGTTATATTATATTACTAGTTTTGTTTACCGGCTATTGTCAAGTTTTTTGGTTATACTCCAAGTCCCCATTAATGAAGTTTGCCTCATATGTTAATGTAGTTTCTATGTTATCCCAAGTACAAAAACAAGGTTTATTTGTAGCAAGTATAAATAAATTGGATATCAACATTCTGTTGTCATTTGCAACCATCTGCATATGCAAAGCGTTCTTTTGAAACAGTGTGATATCAACCAGATGATGTCTGTCAGAGCTTGCAAAGATATAAGTCTAAGTCAAGAATTGTGTGAGACTCCTCCAATGAAACTTTTTCATTAAGTATTGTCACCAACACTCAGTGCCGGTCCTGAGATATTCAGGGTCCAATACGAAATAAAAAAATGAGACCCTTAAATAGTATCTAAGAAATGTTTTTGATAAAACTCAAGTTTATAAAAAAAAATTACAATATCCTCAAAATTTGTAAAAAAATATTAGTTCTTAAATATAAGATCTTCTTGCATTTTTTCCTGCAAAATCATCCATCAAACTTGTGTAATCAAAGTTTTTGATCATAATCTTTTCAATCGACAATATAGCCAAACCATTTAATATTTCTTGTGACATAGTTGATTGTAAGTAAGACTTTATCAACTTCAGTTTTGAGAAGCTTCCTTTTTCCTTTTTTTATAATCACATTTATTTTCCTTTTATTATACTCATATTAAACAACACAAAATATATACAATTTAATTGTCTTTTATTTTAGTGATGTCTCACCACTTTCTTAACTTATCAAGAGTATATACATAACAGATTGACATATTAAAACGTAACAATAACTAGATTTTGACCCGCGCAACCGCGCGAGTGTTTGTTTTTGTTTATAGTTAGTTATATAAACATTTTGTTTTCACTTGTAAATTGGTATATATTATAGTAATAACATATTTACGATATGTATAGTAAATGTTTTTCAAACATAATAATATTATATAATAAGTGTTTAATCAAATACATTGTTTCAATTTTTCTATATTACACATGTTTTTCAAACATGTGTTTGTTTCTTCTTCTATATTTTATTGTTTGTTAGATTAGTATTTCATTTTTATATAAATTAATATAAATAGAGCTTGATTAAATATTAATATACTTTAATTTGCAAAGATAATATAAAATTCGAAGAAATTTTTGCTAAAAACTAAACTTATAGCTTCATAAATTAATATTATAAAGAATTTTATTAAAAAAGAATTTTTAAAAAATTTCTTTTTTTAAAACAATATAATTTTAAAAATTTACATCGGAATAAAATTATCTAATATATATAGCGTATAAATTTTGTTAGGGTATATATATATATTTCATATTACTAATCTGTGATTTTTGTTAATATATTGTGGATGCATTTAACTATTATTGACATATTTTCTTATAAATAATAGAAGATTCCTAAACTTATATCTATTGACATATTTTGCGTGACTAAGTTGGAAGGTGTGGCGTAATTTACCAAAACTAAATTGTTAAGTGTATCTTTGTTTATTATAGATATGATTTTTCATAAGATATAATAATGATAAGACTATTAGAGAGTAAATGTAACATAACTTTCTAGTAATGGTCTATTTTAAAAAAAAAAATCACACATGAAGTCAAGTCATAACTTCTGTTTCAATATATAAGATGAAAAAGTAGGCCCTAAAATTTTTACATCAATAATGGGCTCCATACGGATGCATCACACGTATGTGGTCAAACCCGGGCCTGCCAACACTAATATGGTGACTTATTTGACTAATATATATTAAAATCAGTGGACTATTTGCAAATAATTTACTTTTATTTGTTTATGGGCCTGAACTTTCTTGCTAATAGCACATGCCCAAATTTGAATGCGCACGTTACTTCCAGCCATGCGCCATGTTTCGTCTCCGTGTTTCGTCCTTTTGGCACACCAAGTGTACGATGATATGTCTTAGATAAACCTCGTCCTGATTCATTCACCTCACTAGTTGCGAGGGCCTTCTTGCTTCATCACGGTATATCATCTAACTAGTATTAAAGGTTTCCACAAGCCCTAGTCTTTTCTTACCCTAGCTCTTGTTTGAGAGGAATTTACTTGAGTTTTAGGGAAGAGTCTTGAAGATGAGTTGTACTGTTTGGTGGGAAGGAGCTGAGAAGACAAGAGTTTTCATTGCCTCAGGTTCTCTCTTCTAACTTCATTCAGGTTTTGTTTTATTGCTAACATAAATGACTTTAAGTTATGCGTTCGTGTAGGAATGTCTATGAAAAAAAATGTTGTTTAGTGTTTATCAATCATTGAAAAGGTTAGGTTGGAAAATTAATAGTTCATTAGACATACATGTTCATGAGAATTAAAAGGATGTTGAAATAACATGAACGTTTTTTTTCGTTTCATGTGTAAAGATTCAGGTTGTGGGGGAAACAAACCCGGAGAACTATTAACACTTCGGCATCCAAAATCAGGTAATGGCATGTAGATTATTGTTGTATAGTGTTTTAGTGAATAACTTCTTTAGATAAATTAATATCTTATCTGTTTTAGTATCTTTGCTTATATGGCAAAGAATGAAACATGCTACCTTTTTAGTAATGGGATGCTTCAAGAAATTCAATGGTTTATACAATCATATGGTTCTTGGTTTCTGGGAGATTACATTTCTCAAGGTAATTCCACTATTGATCTTGATTACTAAGTGTACATAAATGCTTTGCTTCTCAGGAGTTTTGAGTCATAACAATATATGCAATGCAAGCCGAAGATTGTTAATGGCTGTTTTGTTATTACAGATGGAAGCATATATATGGCTACTCCGGTTGATCATGTCTTCATCTTGTTGCCTATTTTCGACGAAGCAAGAATGAAGATCACTCACTCTGTGCTCACTGCCTCTTCCCAGTTCACTGTTATTTCCTGCCTGGTTTCAGTTTCTCACAAGTGTTAATTGTGGGTCTGTAGAAAGGTGAAGATCCTGGATAGTTCAGGCAGCTGGATGAGATTTTATTTGTGGAAGGATGTCCTGAATATCAGCATTTGTTGTCACTTGCAGAGAAGTGTATGGAGATCGTTTGTCAAACTCAAGGTAAACTTCTGCTCTATGGGTTTCATACACTTGACTGAACCACAATTTTCAGATTGCTTGTAATCTAAATTCTTCTCATCACTCTTGGGTTGCTTGGTGGTCTCAAGTTGTTCAGATTCCTTATTCCTATTTCATATCTTCTTGCAGAGGTTGGATCTATGAAGTTCTATCGGCTTGATAACGCGAGAGTTTTAGCTTGGTTAAGTTGTAAGGTATGCTCTTGTCATATGCTTCATTTAGCCTTTTCTACGATCCAGTTGAAATTTTTCTTGATACATTTGCCATTTGTAACCGATACATGCGTCTGAACCACTATAATTTCGCACTTTAACTTGTTGTGTTTCACATTCTATGACTTTTGTCTCTCTGTTTAAATTTGAGGGAAAGACAATGATGTAGATCAGCTCCTATCTGTTTTATTCATATACTTAAGTGCATGCACTTTAATGAACGCAGGTGCGCTGTTTAAAGAAGACTCTTCCAGAACTGGACAAGAACTATGCAGCTAAAGGCGAGAAGCAAACACGTAAGTTGTGGAACAGAAATCATTTTACTTGTGTTTGACTCTAGTAGGGATGTTAATATTGGTAATTACCCATGGGTTTACCCAAACCCATTGATAATGAGTTGTGTTTTTACCCATCTAAAACTAATTGGGCTAAACATGGGTATAAAATTTTAAAATCCATATTAGATTGGTTAAATACAAGGGGTAATGGATATCCATGGGTACCCATGGGTTTTAATATCTTTTGTTTTAATGTTTTAAATAAACCATAATTTTGTTTTTTCTATCCAAACTTAAAAAATGAATTTATCCGTCAGAACTGTAAAACGAGTTTTTTTCGCCAAAATCGGAAAATTGACTTTTCCTGCAAAACCGCAAAAACGTGATTTCCCGTCAAAATCGGAAAACATGTTTTCCCGCCAAAACCGGAAAAATGTGTTTTCCTGCCAAAACCGGAAAAAGTGATTTCCCGCCAAAACCGCAAAAACGTGATTTCCCGTCAAAACCGCAAAAACGTGTTTTCCCGCCAAAACCGCAAAAACGTGTTTTCTCGCCAAAATCGAAAAACGTGTTTTCCCGCAAAAACGTGTTTTCCCGCCAAAATCGAAAAACGTGTTTTCCCGCCAAAACCGCAAAAACGTGATTTCCCGTCAAAACCGCAAAAATGTGATTTCTCACCAAAACCGCAAAAACGTGTTTTCCCGCCAAAACCGCAAAACCGTGTTTTCTCGCCAAAATCAAAAAATGTGTTTTCCCGCAAAAACGTGTTTTCCCGCCAAAATCGCAAAAACGTGTTTTCCCGCAAAAATCAAAAACGTGTTTTCTCGCCAAAACCGCAAAAACGTGATTTCCCGTCAAACCGCAAAAACGTGATTTCCCGTCAAAACCGCAAAAACATGTTTTCCGCCAAAACCGCAAAAATGTGTTTTCCCGCCAAAATCGAAAAACGTGTTTCCCGCCAATACGTGTTTTCCGCAAAACCGCGTTTTTTCGTAAAATGAGTTTTCTGCAAAAAAAATATTTCCAAAAAATCGAGTTTTCCGACAAAATCAGAAATGCATTTTCTCGCCAAAACCGAAAAATGAGTTTCCGGCCATACTGGAAAAACTAGTTTCTAGGAAAAAAAATTATGCATAATCTCTTTATAACAAATAAAATAGTAGCTTGGGTACCCATGGATTAACCTATATCCTACTGGGTTATTTTTTTGGGTTTTAAGTTAACCTTGATGATTGTGGGTTTTCGTGGGTAAGATATAAACTGGGTTGGGTTTTTTGTGGGTTGGACTGGGTTGGGTTATTTTACCCATTTTAACATCCCTAGACTCTAGACATGGTGCATGTCTTTTCTTGAAATTAACCCTTAAAGAGGTGATGTTATATGGCTTTTCACTGATATCACCTTAAATATGTACAGTGGTGGATGCAATTTCAATTGTGGGAGAGTACCTGAAGACAGAGCCTTGGTTGAAGCTTCTCTATGATCATCTTGGGTACTTTTTGTGCCAAAAATTGATCACTCGATAAGAGAATCATACGTCCTTACAAAGGTGTTTATTATGTCTGGTTTATCTTGCAGACTCGAGTTTGTTGACCCGACGATGAAAGTAACCAATACGGAGAATCTTCCAAACGCAAATGAGAATAAGATGGAATACTCAAATTCATTACAGGGGTGTAGATGCTCCACTGCAAAACCTATAGACAAGTTTCATATCATTTGTGTATGTTCTTGCTGACTTGTAAATCTGTTTTGGTCCATGTTTATTAGGAGAAAACAAACAAGAAGATAGGAAAGCCTGGGAAGCAGATAAAGCCAGCAAAGGTAGAGACTGGATCAAAGAACATAAGAGATATGTTTTCGAGGGCTTGTAAGAAAAAATGCTGAAATGTTTGAAACTATCCAACTACTCATGATTATTTTTCTCAGCTATCAAATGATCTTTGCTTAGCTCGCAACATCTTGAGCAAATAATCTGCTTATTTATGTAAAAAATTTTAACTAGTGTTGCTTACTAGCTCAAACTTTTATGACTTTTTTTCATACCAGAATGTGCTTATTTATGTAAAAATTGGTGAATTTGGCTATCTAGTTTCCAAACTCGAGTTTCACTAAAGTCTAAAGTCCACCCATAAGAATCTGTTGAGGTTGTAGAGACAATTAAATAACAAGACAACGAGCAGTGTAAACCCCTACGATTAGGCTGTCTTGCCGTTTATAACTGTACAAAACGGCACGATGTGTGCTTATGTAAACATGAGGACAAAGAACTTGCAACGGATAGGATTAAATAAGAGCCCTTCATATATTTTTGTTATGAAAAGATAAAATCTCACTCACTCTATCCATCCCCAAATCTTCTTCCTCTTCTCCACCAAATCCAAACCCTAGCTCCTCTCTCCCATGGCGATATCCACTCCAACCGCCTATTCCTCCTCCTCCAGACTCATCTCCTCCCCTTCTCTCCGTCCCGCCATTTCCACCTCCACCAACCTCAAAGCCCTAAACCTCACCTCCTCCTTCCTCCCTTCCTACTCCCTCTCCACCCTCTCCACACCCTCTCCTTCTCCCCACTCCACCCGCCGCTCCTTCACAATCCGCGCCGCCCGCGGCAAATTCGAGCGCAAAAAACCCCACGTCAACATCGGAACAATCGGCCACGTCGACCACGGCAAAACCACCCTAACCGCCGCCCTCACCATGGCCCTCGCCTCCATGGGCAACTCCGTCGCCAAAAAATACGACGAAATCGACGCCGCCCCGGAGGAAAGAGCCCGCGGCATCACCATCAACACCGCCACCGTCGAGTACGAGACCGAGAATCGCCACTACGCTCACGTGGACTGCCCCGGACACGCCGATTACGTCAAGAACATGATCACCGGAGCCGCGCAGATGGACGGAGCCATCCTCGTCGTCTCCGGCGCCGACGGACCTATGCCTCAGACCAAAGAGCACATCCTTCTAGCCAAACAGGTCGGCGTCCCGGACATGGTCGTATTCCTCAACAAAGAGGATCAAGTCGATGACGCCGAACTATTGGAGCTGGTGGAGCTAGAGGTGCGTGAGCTTTTGTCTTCCTACGAGTTTAACGGAGATGATATTCCGATTATCTCCGGGTCAGCGTTGTTAGCTGTGGAGACGCTTACTGAGAATCCTAACGTGAAGCGTGGGGATAACAAGTGGGTGGATAAGATTTACGAGCTTATGGATGCTGTTGATAGTTATATACCAATCCCTCAGAGACAGACTGAGTTACCTTTCTTGTTGGCCGTTGAAGATGTGTTTTCCATCACGGGACGTGGTACTGTGGCTACAGGGAGGGTTGAGAGAGGGACTGTGAAAGTTGGAGAGACTGTGGATTTGGTTGGGTTGAGGGAGACTAGGAATTATACTGTTACTGGTGTTGAGATGTTTCAGAAGATTCTTGATGAGGCATTGGCTGGTGATAATGTGGGTTTGTTGCTTAGGGGTATTCAAAAGGCTGATATTCAGAGGGGGATGGTTTTGGCTAAGCCTGGAAGTATTACTCCGCATACTAAGTTTGAGGCGATTGTGTATGTGTTGAAGAAGGAAGAAGGCGGGAGGCATTCTCCGTTTTTCGCGGGGTATAGGCCTCAGTTTTACATGAGGACGACGGATGTTACGGGGAAAGTGACGAAGATTATGAATGATAAGGATGAGGAGTCGAAGATGGTTATGCCTGGTGATAGGGTGAAGATTGTGGTTGAGCTTATTGTGCCTGTTGCTTGTGAGCAAGGGATGAGGTTTGCTATTAGAGAAGGTGGGAAGACCGTTGGTGCTGGAGTTATTCAGTCTATTATTGAATGATTTGTTAGAGAGTTTCACATAGTGAGCAATCTTATCTACTTGCTTTCTTTTTTGTTGTCCTCTTAATTCGTAAAACTGTTTAATTCTCGTGTTGTTTTTTATAAGAAGTTGAAATCAAAATGTCGTATATTTCTTGACCCTCTTATATAATTCTTGCATTTGGGTTTGGCCTTTGGGTTCGAAAAAGACCAATCCAGATTGTAAAACTTGATTATGATTGGTTTTTCTCTACTTAACTTAGGAGTCACTGTACGTTGACAAAGATTACAATCACTTAGTTTGAAATCAGTTCCAGAAGCCTTAACTTCCATTCTCCAGTTCTCTCTCCTCTCTTCTGCTCAACGAAGATTGTAGCTTTCTTTTGTTCCTAGCTCAGCTTGAATGATTGAGAATGGTATTAAAAGGTGAAGCTTCTCTAATGCTTTCACATATGCTTCTCTGAGAGTCCATAACTTTTATAAACTCCTTTGGGTGATCCTCAGTGTCTGGTATACAAGTGATAACTTTGACAACAGCAAGAGTTAACTTGTTCATCCGAGTAAAATGTCTCTGCAAGTGATAATTTTTACAGATGATTAATATTAAAACAAATGACATAAACGTTCTTTAATATTCTATTTAGTTCCTCCCTAGTCCTATGTCGAAACTTTAGCTCAAATCCTTCATAATACTGATTTTTGACAAGATGAAAATGTTAAAGACTATTCAAATGTTTTGACGTAAGCCAATCGCTACGTTTGAACCGCCGTTCGGAACAGACAGAGTAAAATGTTATAAAGAAATACAAAGCGCGTTTAAAGACCGCCGAACGCGTCAAGTAAAAATAAATAAAAAGACAAATCGTTATATAAAACAAAATCGTAAATTACCAAAAACAGAGAGATAAAATCATCAGAGAAAGAAAGAAAGAAAGAAATAGGGGAAAAATCGAGAAATCTTATTGTCCACCATACCTCAAATTTGGGATTGGCCTCTTTGCATATCTCCTCGCTCTAGCGTTTTGCAATCGAGATTTCCTCTTCCATCTCCAATCGGTATGAACAAGAACCAATCTCTGTCTTGAATTTTTGTAATATCGACACAGTTCGTCTGATGCATATGATATAATAATGTATGCAGAAGCTTTGGCTTTGAATTGGATTTAGGGTTTGTTTCGGTTAAAAGTCAGCTCCTTTTGGTGTTCCTCCGTGAGAAATCAGTTGAGTCTTTTCTTTTCTTTAGGTTTAGTAGTAACACATGTTAGCGTTGTTTTTGTTATGTATTAGTTGCAATTGTGATTGATTCTTCTGATAATCATAAAAAAAAAAGCAGAGAGATGCAGGACCAGCTGGTGTGTCATGGGTGTAGAAATACATTGCTCTATCCTAGAGGAGCTACCAACGTTCGTTGTGCCTTGTGTAACACTATCAACATGGTCCCTCTTCATCCTCCTCCTCCTCCTCATCATCATCATGGTATCTATATATATGATTTTTACTTTCTTTTGTAATTGAGTAAGAAGGTTAGAAGATTTTGGTTGAGATGCATTTTGTGACTTGGTTTTGGGTCTGAACACAGCTCATGTAGGGATGGACATGGCTCACATTGTGTGTGGTGGTTGTCGAACTATGCTTATGTATACTCGTGGGGCTAATAGCGTTAGATGTTCTTGCTGTCAGACTATGAACCTTGTACCAGGTATATATAAAAGTGTCTTCTAGAATCTGTTTTTCACTTCATCACACCATTGTTCTGTCTGCTGAAACTGTGTTATGAAACTGACAGCAACCCCACCTGCGCATATCAACTGTGGGAACTGTAGAACAACCCTCATGTATCCTTACGGTTCACCTTCTGTTAGATGCGCTGTTTGTCAGTTCGTTACTAACGTTAATGTAAGTGTACTCCTCTCACCCTCTTCATGGTTTGAGACCTTTGTTTGGGCATTTGATTTCTGATTTTATTTTTCTCATCTGCAGATGGGTAATGGAAGGGTTCCTCTCGCAAGTAACCAGTCAAATGGAACATCCTCTCCCGTGCCTCCTACATCTTCTGTGAGTTATCAAATTATGGTTTTGTAGTTTCTTATGGAAGTGGTACTTACTCTGCTTATCGGTTTTACCTTTTTTCCAGCAGTCAACACCACCGTCTCAGACCCAAACCGTTGTTGTAGAAAACCCCATGTCTGTTAATGAAAGTGGAAAGTTGGTGAGTATCAGTTATCTCTTGTGTTCTCAATGCTTCTTATGTAGCTTTTGTTTTTCTTATTTACACATTAGAAATTTTTTTTGATAAAGTTACTTAAACACACAATTCTCGCAGGTGAGCAATGTTGTCGTTGGAGTGACAACAGGCAAGAAATAACCTCAAGAAGAAGTGATTTCAGTCTATCCCCCTGCGTCTGGTTTGTGCATATTACATAGGAGGAAAAAGTGACTGTTTATGTTATATCATCCTGACTCCTTTTTTTAACCCCCAAGAAAAAAGGCTTCTCAGAATCTCTTGTTTGGTTTTGCTTTTTCAAAGTTGATGAACACAAAGGTTTTTGGTCCAACAATCTGCCATTCCTATCTGTAGACTTTGTATAAACTTCATTGGCCCTTTGTGGCATTGTTAATGTATGTATTCATATAATCTGATATATCAACCAAACGAACTGTTTACTTTGCTTCATGGAACTAGAACATATCAAAGAAACTAATCTTTTAGCTTTGGTAGATTAGATAAGACTGCCCTTGAAAACAGGTCTTGGAATCTGAATATTTAGTTCTATTGTTTAATTTGAGTAATCTTTTCACCACAACCTTAACCTAGCACTAGTCTCCAAGAACATTTTAGAGTTAGATGGCCAGACAAAGCAGACAGAACGCTTTTCACATTTGACACAGATTCATAGCTTTTCTCTTTGATCACTCACTGCATCAACAATGGTTGGAGAGAAAATTCTGTTAGGTGGTGATGGGACCACAAAGAGCTGGAAACTGCTCTTGGGGGTCAGAATATTTGCATCCATTGCTACTTTAGCTGCACCCATTGTATTGTCACTGAATAAAGAGACTAAGACCTTGGTTGTTGCCATCCATCATTGGTTTTATTTCTGTTAAAGCCACTTTAACCGCTAAATTTCAGCACACACCAGCTTTCGTATTAGCTCAATAAACCCTATAAGCTCGAGTTAACACTAACACCTATGGAAAGCAAGATGCTTTTAGTTATTAACAACTCTGAATCTTTATGAGAAATGGATATATATACGATACAGGTTCTTCGTTATAGGTAACACTGACTCTTATAAAAAAAACTTCTATAATAATTTGAGAAGTTTCTTTCGTAGATGTTAAGAAAAAAAAACCAAAATCAACTCAACACATACCAAAAATATACCAAAATCAACTCATGACAATAAGCATGACTTTGAAAATTGAGATTTAGGTAAGAAGTAGAAATCAGCATTAGTCTCCAACACATTATTCTCCTAACTCATCCCTAACTTTAATCCCCACTATAAAATCACAACACCATTGACTCCAAATTCCATCACAAGCTACTTCCACACAAAAGCAAACCCTCTCTGATAAAAGTTCCAAGAACACAAAACAAGTCAGCTACAATGTCAATCTCAACAGTCTCTCTCTGCCTAATCTTTCTCACCTTCCTCACTTCCCCATTTGTGCTCTGCTCTCGCAGCCCAAAAATGGCAGTAGCAGCATCAGCCGCAACAGACAAGACGCTCCAGAAAACACATGTTCATCCTCCAGCATTGCATCTTCCTGAATCCACCAAGGTTGATTCAACACCCTCCATGGCCAAGATTGATGATGAACCTGCAACAAACACTGCCATGGCCGGTTTTTTCAGGTCTAAATTCCCATTCCAAGGCTGGCCTTTCCACAAGTATGGTTCTTTCCCTATGGTTAAGCCAGAAAATCCTTCTGTTACTACAACACCGGCTACTGGAGCTGATGAAGAGGAATCTGAGAAGGTGCCTTCTTCACCAAGCAAAGGAAACAGAGATGGTGGCAACGCATGATGAAATGAAAGACAAGAAATGTACTTTTTACTAAAAACCTTACTGTGTTTAATGAATGCTGAATCTTTATCCTATAGTTTTACATAAAATGTATCAAATAAATATGCACCATGTAATGTAATATAAAATGCTATGTGACATTTTACATGGATAATGAAATGAATACAAATACAATGTATCTTATCTACCAAGCTAGCTCTGTGTAGTACCGGGTTGTCTGTTTCATCATTTTATGACAATTTTTACTATGACAAACACATGATTATGAACAATGTCTCCAAACTGGCTATAGACCTGTTCTTCTTTGCCTTGAGGATAATGTTACTATCGGAGTGGCTATAAGTCAAAGCATGTTTTTCATACCAAACATGTCGCAATAATGTAATGGATCATCACTTAATAAATCTTGGTTACTTCGATAGGTTTAGAATACAGACCAAACCAAGCAAACCGTATTGTTATGATAAACTTGTAGTAGTTAGTTGGTAGGCTTTAAAGCCAAATCTAAACACAAACAATACTAGGCAACCAGATCTTGAATGTTCAATATTTGAAGTGTTACTTAAAATACTGAGTATATCATCATGCTAAGTATCAGGCATGCGAGTCAAACAACTTCGAACCAAAAGCTCCAGGGAGAATAGAAGCTTAAGAATCAAAAAACTGATTAATTAAGAATCAGAAACTTGTTATGATTAGTATCCCTACGAGATATGAATGCATACCAATCTAAGAGATTTTAAGGGCGCAAATAAGTAATCTACCAAAAAAAAAATGGAATCTCTCTAACAAGAAACACAATACGATAAGCAAAAACACACTCACTCGTCCACAAATCTACAAACTTTAAAGATAGATCAGAGGTTGCAGCTGAAGTTATGAAAGCACAAACAACTTAGTAATACCTACACAATCTCCTGAAACAGTAAAAGCCTAGACCTTCATTGCTAGATTAATCACTGCTGCTGGTTAGGCGGTGGTCGGATGCCAGGACGCTGCGGAGCAAACCCAGGATGCATTATGTCTCGGTAACTAAAACAAATAAAAGGTAGTACAGGACAAATCTTGTGAAAGTTTGTTATGAACTTAATTATGTCAAAATAAGTGTTATATTTTTTTATTTTTGATGAAAATTTAGTTAGTTAGCAAATTCACCCTTAATTTTTTGGGCTTATTTGTGAAATGGCCAAGAATTTTTTTTTAGATTTTTAGACAAAAGTTAAGAGAGAGATAGGAAGAAAAAGTAAGAAAGAGAGTGATTTTAGCCCTTGTTCGGGAAATCGCTAGGCGCTACGCGTGCGGCGCACCTACGCCTAGCGATTTTTTGAAAAATCGGAAATAAATCGGGGAGTACTCGGGGAGGAAATTTTTCATATTTTGTGTATATAATATGATATATACTGCCTTTGTTTAGAAGATAACGTTAAGATAGCTTGGTTCAGTGGTTTAAATCTCGGAAATTATTAGCTATAACTCGAGTTTGAAACGTGCAGTGTGCGTTTTCACATATTTTTATGTCTTTTATTACTGAAATGCGAAAGGACGATTCTACCCCCGTCTCCTACCCTAAAGAGAGTTTGTTCTGCAACATAGCTGCCGTATATCTCTGCTTTATACATGTTTTCTGGTTTTTTTTTTCATTTTTTGTCTGTTTATAACACCTATCATTCACATTATCATCGACATAAGAGATTAAGACCAAGATTTATAGATCACAACGAAGCGATTTTCAGATCTAAGGCGGCGATTTCTTCAACAACTCGGTCAACTCCGGGAATGTTCGGATCAACGCCTAGACATGCCGATCAGCCACTTCTCGCCACGGTGACCTCCCGATTCACGACTAATCGGCCGCAAACTCGCCTACTCGGGCGCTTTTTAGAACAAGGATTTTAGCTACTGAGTGAATTAATGTTTTTTGTAAGATCATAGAGCCATATTTTCCTAATTTTTTTTGGGGTTTTAGTGTTTTGAGATATCCACTTTGATTCGAACCAGGTTTAGGTAATGGGAAATTGTTAAAAGTAGCACACTCATGATACACTATTTCATTTTTACATTAATCATTTTTACCCTTAAAATTTTAATATGAAAAATATTATTTTACCCCTCAATCATTTGTGAAACCTAGATATATTTTTCTCCAGATCTGATATCACCGGAGCCGGAGAGGATGAGGAGAGGAGGAGGAGAAGTCGCCGGAGCCGCCACGTGTCACCGATCATACCACAACACCTCCTCTTTCGCTTCTTCAATCTTCTTCTGTCTTACCTCTTTTGTCTTAGTGATCACTCTGTTATCGACCTCGATCGCTTTAGCTCTCTCTCTCTCTCTTTGAAATTTCCGGCAAAAATATGGGTGGAGGAGCTCGATTTTTAGTTATGTAGAGCAGCAAAGAGAACGCGACGAGAAGAAACGATGACTCGGTAGTAGATTTATACCCGCTTAGCAGCTACTACTTCGGTTCTCGAGATGATTTTCGCGTCAAGGACGAGATGATCTCTGAACGTGTACTCAGATTGAAATCCAAGTAATTCAAGTAATTTTGATCATATAGGTTTATAGTTTTGTGTTAACTTGTATCTAAGGATTTTACTTTTTTTTTTTTAATCTCTCTCACCATATAGAGGATTCTTAAAAAAGTAATCATTGAATAGATTACAATGTGCATTTTCTCTATCACGGTGTATTGCATGATTATAAATAGAGCTTCGGTGACTGGTATGATCGCTTTCTTGAGTGAGTTGGTAAATAACGCGATTGTTATTGAGAATAAAATTGACATCAATTTGTTCCTCTCTTTCTATTGCTGCATTTTGATCAACTAATAACCATTCATCAAACTCAGATGACTCTGAATAATATGAAGAAGAAGAATTTATAAAAGAAGATGGACCTCCAATATTTTCATTTTTGAAGTGTAGTGTTTTGATGTTTGTCTAACATTAAGTGTATTTTTATAGCTATAAATTTTACTATTTTAAAAGATAAGAAAATCTAGATATTTAAGCTATACCATTCATTGTATTCTATATGCCTATTTATCTATCCAATGTAACAAGATAAGAATTTTCACTATTTAAAACTGATATTCAATATGTCAGACTTATCCAATATATTAGATAAGAGAATCTTAAAATTACAATCTATACCATTCAATGTATTTTATAGTTTACTAGCCCTTGGATCAAAATCTATCATTCACATATGTAGATAAGGAAATCTGTAAAATTAAACCATGTCCATTCATTTGAATTTCATCCATACATTTACTTGTATAAATAATAGGTTCTACACAAGAAAAAATCACATCCAATAACTTTTCACAAAAATATGGAAAGAAGTAGAGGTTCATCATTTAACCAACATGAAGATGAGTTGTTATGTCGTGTCTATTTAGAAATATACCAAGATTCCATTGGTAGCAATAACCAATCTCTAGGAAAATTGTGGGAAAAAATTGAAAATAGTTACAATGAAAAAAAAGATGAGTGTTGGGAAATTAGAAGCATCAGATCTTTACAAGGTAGGATGACTACCATTCTTTATGCTGTTCGGAATTTGAAGAGCTGCTTATCCAAGTGGTGCATCTGAATTTGACATTGTAAGTATATTTATTTTCTATTTCATTTATATATGATATTTTTACATGTATTTCTTTAAAATTTTATATTCCATGCAGATGGAAAGAGCTAAGAAATTGTTGGTACAAGATCCAAAACTTAAAAAAGGTTTTAAGTTTGATCATGTGTGGTTTTTGATGAAAGATATCCTAAAATTTACCGATAATGTTAATATTGGTATTCACGACACTCCTAATACTGAGAAGAATATCAGTGGATATCCTACATCACAATCTCCAGGCCTGTCTTCATTTTCTATCAATTTAAGTAGTGATGATGGAGGATCGAATTCATCACAATGTCCGATTGGATCAAAAAAAGCGAAGATTGCAGAAGGTAATAGTTCATATGTTGACAATTTGGTTTCATTAAATGAAAAACTCCTTGATATCTTACAAGAAAGTGCATCAAGTAGAGAAAAAGGTTTTGAGATAGCTCAATTACGTGCGCAAAATCAAGCGAAAAAATTAGCACTTCAAGAAATTCATGAAGAAAATAAAATGTTGCTAACAAATTTAGACTCTATTGTTGATTTTACTACTCGTGAGTTTATCCGATCTCAACAAGAAAGAATCATCAAGAAAAGAACTCAAGAACAACAACAACAACCTTCAGTTGCACCAGTATATTATGGAAACTATTTTGGTGGTAGTGGAGATCCAGGATCAAATTTGTACCTGAATATTAATATTGGTGTAATGTTTGTATATGTAATATTTTTAATTTTTTAATATTTTTAATGTTGTAATATTTATATGTTTATTAGTGTGTGCTTGTATTTTCAATTTCTTGTATTTATTTGCTGTAATATTATTTTGTATAATATTTATTGTAGTTTGTTAAATATTTTCTATTAAAAAGAACTAAAATGATTAAATGAAAAAGTTATTGACTGTATTTGAACGCTACACAAGTAAAAGGACTAGAAAAGTAAGGAACCTTAAATATAAAGTTTTGTAGAGTAAAACCTTATATTTGAGGTTTATCACTGTACAAAACTTTAAAATTGAAGATTTTAAGGTTGTTTTTGGAGTTCACAAAACTTTATATTTGTAGTTATAAATAGGCTTTTCACTACAAGAAACACAAGTTTTGCTAGGACGGTTTTTCCTCGTAAATTCCTAGTAAAGGAGCCTTTACGAGGAAAGGCGTTTTGTCATAAGACGGTGGATGTGGGTGTGGAAGCCCTAGGTTTTCCCATCTGACACGGAACATATCTACCAATTGCGGGTTTCCAACCGCCATAACGTCCAGGATATCAGAGAGAGAACTCACATGAGCTTGCGTCGCCTACAACTCCGAGCGTAGCTGAGTAGTGACATCGTGCTGTTCCTGAGCATAAGACGATGTCGCTGTGGGGACATCGTTAACATAACCAATCCCGACGATACGTCCCTTTTTCCTAGGACGACCTTTAAATAAAGATTAATAGGTTAGTTAAGGTTAAAAATAAATTAAATAAATAATAAAAATTAATAAGAAAACAAATGATTTACCTCCTCGTAAATCTTATCCAATTCAAGAATGGATAATATGACGGGTGTCCCAGACTGCTGAGTCAGCTGGGTCTGGCGGTGGTCAACCCGAGCAACAACCTCGTTGTAGATTCGCTCGGATCTAGGATCGACAAAATTCTCAGCCTTGTTCCGATGGGTCCTCTCGTAAAGCTCTTTTAGAGATGGAAGCACTCTTGTCTCTTTAGCCTAAAAATAATTTTTTTAATTAATTATTAATTAGTAATATATAAATAGATTAAAAAATATTCATTAGTTATTAAAATATTAATTTACCATGTCTAGACGGATTCCCGTGTGAGGTTTTTGACCCCCGGTGTGAAGCATCTTCGTGTTGCCATGCTCGTCTTTTGTCATGCGGTTCTCGGAGTTTGTGTTGGAGGTTCTGATCGAGTCCGGAAACCCCCAATATCTGATGAGGCCATCCCACACCAAATATGCGAGGCAATGGGGATTCCCCTCCTCGTAACCATCTACCTGAAAAAAAAAATATTTTTAAAATTATTTGAAGTCAATGATATAAAACTATATAAAATTGATAAATCCACCTGAAAATCGCCCTTCCAGTTATAGACCATGTCGAGCAATCGCTGTTTGCACTTTACCTTAAACTCCTTCACCCGCTGGTGAATCCCTATGGACCAATGATATTTTTGCTGTAACCAGAAAATATTAGATTAATAATTATTAATTAGTTCAATAATATTAAAAATTTTTAAATAATTAAAATTTTAAATAATCCCTATGGACCAATGACTTATGGCGAACGATTTGAACCACGTCATTTTGGTGTGGCTGGCCGTGTTTTTCCAGTTTGGAGCTGGATCGGGAAAGTATTCTTTGATACAATCGGTGACGCTTTGAGCGACACATCCGTAAATATTAAACCTGAACAAAAAACAAAATAAAAATATTAATTAAATTTGTTAATTTTTGTTTAATTAGTAAATATTTTAAAAAACTTTTTTAAAAAATGAAACATACCAAAATATGTTGCCGTCATCCCGTCAGAGAGTATCCTCGACTGTGTACACCGAAAATGGAGCATTTGGCGGCACCTCCAAATCGGGATGAACCCCGGCAGCCGGTGGAGGAGAAGGAGGAGGAAGTGGAGGAGGAGGTGGTGGATCAAACCGGGGAACTGGAGAAACTGTCTTAGAATACTGAGAGTCGGTAACAACGTCATCCGGAATCGAAGAACCGGGAGCTGAAGAAGATGATGCGCCTATATGAGGACTAGGCTCACGACCGAGCATATCTCCGTAATGACTCCCGACAGAAGGCGGCCTCGTCTTACCCTTAAGCTTGTTCTGTCTAACAATCTAAATTTTAGAAATAAAAATAAAACATAAATATACTAGTATCATTTAAAAAATACTTAAAAAAATAAACCAACCTAATCTAAATTCCCTAAACTAATCATCTAATCTAAATTCCCTAAACTAACCACATAATCTAAATTTCCTAATCTAATCACATAACTAGGAATTAGAGATTACCTTAAGAGGAATATGAGAGGAGATTGCTACAAATGAGAGAAATCGGATGGCTCGACTTATATAGGGAATTTGATTTCCTCGTAATTTTACGAGGAAATAGCGAGTCCCGCGTTTTCTTTTACGAGGAAATGGCGAGTCCTGCGTTTTCTTTTACTAGGGTTTTACAAGGAAATGTTTTGTAAATCCCTAAATTCGAAACCCAAACACCAAATCACAACTTCCTTAACTTATAACCTCTTCTACAACCAAACTCCAAACCTCTTCTACAACCAAACCCCAAATCACAATTCCTCATATGAAACATCATCATTGCCAACTCAAATTCAAATTCATTTTTGTGATTAAACAAACTTAAAACATACATAATTCAAATTCATTTTTGTGATTAAACAAACTTATAAAACATACATAATTCATTCGGATACATTCTCGGAATCTGTAGAAACATCATCATTTTCATAAAACTCGTCCTCAACACCTTCGTCTGTTGAGTGATCAGGAACATCTTCGTATTCACGATTATGCGGATCAATGAGTAGGATGTCATCAATTTCTGCTTCAGGTTCCTCGATTTCATTGGTGTTTTTTTCTTGTAATGGTGATTTTTCTCCAGCGATTATTCGTCCTCGAGGTGTAAATATGATAACAGCTAACCAGTTTATTCCCAAGGTAGTAATCCAAGGGTATGGAATGAAGAAAACTTGATCCGCTTGGGAAGCTAATATGAAAGGCTCGAATTTGTTACCTGCAAAAATAAAGACAACCTAGAAATTAGTCATTCAGAACATGTATGTCAATAAAAGAATTTGTTGTACCTTCGTCCACCATTGAAATCAACTACACCGTCTTGTTAATCCGAACACCTCTGTTGACGACGTGGTCGTACCACTCACAATTGAAGATAACGCATTTCAGATTCATACTTGGGAATTGAACTTCATAAATCTCCTGCAAGATCCCGTAGAAATATGTTTTACATTTCACACATATTCCATAATTACTTGTCGCCCGGTGTCTACCATAGTCATAGGTATGAAAGTATAGCCTCAGGTGAAATACATCGATGATGTAGTGACCTTTGCAACTGGACCTTGAAGTAATTCGTGAAACCATGTGGGATAATCAGGATCGTTATAATTAACCTGCAAAAAAGTAATAGAACTAGACCTTTGCAACTGGAACTTGAAGTAATTCTTCTCTATATGCATCACATCGAGGTTGTGGCGCAAAAGAAAATCTTTCCAATATGGCAATTCTCAAAATATACTCTTCTTGTGCCAATTGTGCTAAACACCATAGGAATCAGGCATATTACTAGGAATATGCCAATTCCCACCATGAGGAGCTGTTTCTAGAGCACCGTAGTAATCGATTTGCGCTTCGATTTGTTCTCCAGTTAAATATGGAGAATGAGTGTCTCTGACAACCCTTTTGTGCATGAACAATGTCTTGTTTCTTCGGTATGGGTGGTAAACAAGAAGAAATCGATGGTGACAATCGAACCAACTAGTTTTCCTACCATTCTTCAACTGAAATGCATATGTCATTCCATTACAATATGGACAAGCTAATCTCCCATGTGTAGTCCATCCTGACAACATCCCGTATGCAGGAAAGTCACTTATGGTCCACAAAAGCATCGCCCGCATCGTAAAATTTGTTTTCGTTGAACAATCATATGTCCTCACCCCTGTTGACCACAAATCTTTCAACTCTTTTATCTGTGGTTGTAGAAAAAGGTCGAGAGATCTTTTTGGATGCTTTGGACCAAGTATTAATATGGTCAAGAATAGAAACTCTCGTCGCATGCACATCTCCGGTGGAAGGTTGTACGGTGTAAGAAAGACTGGCCACATTGAGTGTTGTCTCCTTGACATTCCAAATGGACTAAATCCATCAGTGCATAATCCAAGATACACATTCCGGCTATTGCTGGCGAAATGTGGATGTACTTTGTTAAAATGTTTCCAAGCTCTTGCATCTGATGGATGAGTAATATCTTCATCTGTCTGAGTATGCTCGGCGTGCCATCTCATCCCTCCAGCAGTCTCCTCAGATTGGTACAATCTATTCAATCTGTCTGTGATTGGTAGGTACCACATCCTTTGGTATGGTACCCTATTACGCCCTCGTCCTTGCGTTTGAATCCTGGATTCTTACAAAATCGACATTCTTCTAACTTTTCATTATCTCCCCGGTAAATCATCCAGTTGTCGATGCAAACGTCTATCATCTTCGAGGGCAACCCAAGACTATATACCAATTTCTTAATGTCATAATAAGATTCAGCAGACACATTGTCTTCTGACAAATACTCTTTAAACAAGTCTGCCCATGCATCCATATAATTTTTAGGTAGATTGTGATCGGTTTTAATACTCATCATTCTAGCAGCCAACGACAATTTAGATAGACCTTCTCTACAACAACTGTAAATTAGCTCATTCGCAGCTTCTAACATTTCATAAAACTTTTTTGCATCTAAGTTAGGTTCTTCAAATCCATCATCATGAATTACAAATGCATCACCTACCATATCATGAACCTTATCACAATCTACCATTTGTTTCTCCTAGTTATAGCTATTTTCATTATGTAAATGATCAACCGGTTCAACCTGAAAATTGCTATTAATACTGCTAGCTTCATTCCTACAACTAACATCTTCTCCATGTTGATACCAAATATAATAATATGGCATGAAACCTCTATTTATTAAATGCTTCTAAACATTTTCACGAGGGACTAATTTTGTATTGCAGCATTTCCTACAAGGACATAACATCTTACCACTTTCATGCGTGAGTGGTGTAGAATCTGCTTGATGCATAAACGCATCCAACCCTTTGAGAAATTCTTTTGTCACTCTCCCGTTATTATCTCTGTGTGAATACATCCACTTCCGCAACTCGATAATATTTCCAGGACCGGACATTTTTTTTCTTTGATCAAGCTTAAAGCTGAATTTTTATGGGAAATTTGCTAATAAGGGACAAAAAAAACTTAAGTATTGTCCCCTTAGAATAAATTTCATGATTCATGTCTCCTTAGAATAAACTATAATGAAAATCCAATTTAATCCTTAATATTTCAATTTTTTAAATTTTCTGAATAGAATTAAAAAAAAATACAAATACTAATTAAAAAAGGTAAAAATACATACACTAATACAATAATCGCTATACATATACCGACTGTAAAGTCAAAAGGGGTCAAAATCCCAAAACGAATCCAAGCTCCCCTCGTGTTCTCTCCGGCTCCGATTCCCGTGTGCTCTCCGTCGTGTTCTCTCGGGCGTGTTTGACGGCAAATCCTTCCTCCTTCCTCCTTCCTCTTTCCTCCTTCCTCCTTCCTCCTTCCTCCTTCCGGCTTCCTCCTTCCTCCTTTTGGCTTCCTCTTTCCTCTGGTATGTTCTTTTACATCTTCTTTTGTTTTCTCTGAGCTTTTTTTTTTGTGATCAACTCTAACTGATTTTGTTCTCTTTGAAGCTGTAAAACGGTATAGGGAAAAGGCGTACGAAGCTTTCATCACTGATTAAGAACAAGTTGGAGATCAATTTTCATCTCGGTTCATCTTTTCCAAAAATCGAAGGTTAGATTTTGAGATCCCCTTCGATGTGCATGTTCTATTAAAACAGTGGGATAGCTTAGAACTCAACAATTATCAAAAAATTTCAACTATAAACCGAGATGAAAATTGAGACCCCTTTTCGATATTGATTTGTTTTACATTGTGTTGATGTGCATGTATTAGTAAAACACTTAGATGCTTAGAAACTCAACTATTTTCACGTTTATGTTTGACATGTAAAAGCGTACGATTTTACAAGATGATTTTTTTGGATTAGCTTTGTTATTTGAACTGAGTAGCTCACAATGTATATATTTTTGTGATTCTTTTGTGTACAATTTAACATGTAAAACCGATAAATTAAGTTATTGTTAAGAGTTTTGTACTTAGTGTGTCAATTGTTACTGACTATCATGTTATTTGATCTCATTGTTTACATGCATTGGTTACGAGTATCCAGAACGCATTTTCGAAGAAGGCATTGAGCATCAGATTGCTAAGATTAACAACACCTGTAGACGTACTATTCTTGATATACTGAAGGTTGCTCTCAAAGATGAGTACGAGGAAGTGCAGAAAGACCCTGTCTTTGGTCCGCTTCTGGCCATCAATGATAACAATCATCTACTCAGGGAAGATTGTTCACAGCTTCATATGCAAGCAGTTAAAGGTTTCTAAGCTTCACGAGCTGTGGTTTCTGTTTGCAAAGAGGCCTCTTAGGTTTTTAATGCAAGAGTTTTATGCTGTGACTGGACTCAAGTACAAAGAGGAACCAGATATAGACTTTGATAGTTGGAAGAATGATAAGGGGTTCTGGAGCACGGTGCTGAAGCAAAAAGAGAAGATCAACTTAATGTGTGTAAAGAAGGAACTCCTCCAAACCAGCGACACCTTTTCCCTTGTAACTTGATACTACATTGTTGAAAAAGTGGTGAATGCAAATTCAATGATGAGATTGCGGATACACGTCCACAAGAGCTTTGCCAATTGAGAGGTTCCTATCAGAGACAAAAGCTAAACTGTGATCATCAGCAATGACAACTTTAAGCTGTCTCATAAACCAGTCCCATGAGCGGTGATTCTCGGAGTCGACAACTCCAAATGAAATAGGATATAGATTTGAGTTTCCATCCAAAGCAGTAGCAACCAATAATACTCCTTTGTATTTGCTTTTCAAAAAAGTTCCATCCAAAACAATAACTTTCCGAATGGCAGCATGAAAACCGCGAAGTGACTGACCAAATGAGATGAAGAGGAATTTAAATCTCCCATTGGTATCGGTTTCATAAGCCGTGTGTGTTCCTGGATTAGCTTCCTTCATCATGTGCAAGTATTTGGGAATTTTAGCGTAACCTTGCTCAGGAATACCGCTCACTATGTCTATTGCGTACTCACGGGCATCCCATGCTAAAGAATATGATATCTCAACTCCATGCTCATCACACATATAGCTGATGATGCCATTAGGTTTCGGACCTTCCTTAATGCTTTCATACTTGTGCATTACGAGGGAACCAACAGTTTTTGCTGAAGCTGTGCGGACATAATTGCTCCTTGATGATGGAGCACATGTATGATCAGGTACATACTTTCTGATAATAAAATATGAAGACCCTGTTAATCCTTCTGCACGAACACGCCATGTGCAATCATCATCTGCACAGCAAATATACCAAACTTTTGTATCTGATTTGACAAGCTTATAGTCGAAATTGTGTTTCATTGCGCAGATTTCTAGTGTCGCCTTCAAAGCTAATTTGCTAGTAAAATGTTGACCCTTCTTCACAACACCAACCAAAGAAAATCGGACAGGCTTTCCATTGATCATGTCTTGGTCTTCCTTTTCCTCTAGGTTATCATCTTCTTCTTCAACCATGGTTTGACCATCAATAACGTGCACCACACACTCTTCCTCTCTCTTAGGCGACTCAGTAGTCCCTTCTTTATTCAAGTCAAATTCGACGTTGATATTCCTTGTATCCACCTTAGATTGAACACACACACATAACCGCGTAGAAGCTCTGATCTTCAGATATGTTAGAAAGTTTTTGAGTTTCCTATCATTGGTGATGAAAACAGGTGGCGAGTTGATGCTATTCATCAAATCTGAAGGTAAGTAACTCAACTCGATATTGACCATGTCTAGATCAGTCCCAAAGTCTTCACACACGATCAACTTCAGGTGTTCAAAAGATGAACTTGTGTCCACAGTTTGTAACATATCTCCTTTTCCTTCATCAACAACAAATTGCCATCCATTGCTTACAGACGAGTTCCACGAACCACATGAAGTATACATGTGCATCTTCATTGTTAGATAGCTTGGAAGTGGAAGAACTAGAAGAATAGAAGAGATTTTTTCACGGTGAGAAGAAGAAGAAGACCCACGTTCAAGGCAAATATATTAAAAAAGGAAATAAAAATATTTAGAGAATATTTACTTTCAGATTTTACTAGATTTTCAGATGGTGGCTCATAAACCGTTGGTAGAAGATACATTCTACCAAATTTTTCATTAGTTTAACTAGTAGAAACGTAATCCCACGGGCCTAGATAAAACATTAAAATTAAGAAGATATGTTCTGCCAAAGTAGACGCGTGGGTCTTTATTATATGTTATGTTCTACTAAAACTCCAGAACAAAGAAGGAATGGCAGTTATCATATTCTTCGATCGTAGATATATATGTTTTTGGTGTATTACGCATTCTAAGCCCTTTAGATGGATTAGTTGTTAGTAGATTGTACACTCTAAACAGCCGTAGATGGTAGAATCTCATTTACTACCCCATTTATCCAATTTTTGAAATTACTATTTCAAACATTTTTCGAATCTAAAAATATTTTTCATATATTCACATGCTACTCTATTTCATATTGTATATTTTTCCTCAATTTTTTACCTTGTAAATTTTTTTCTTTGAATTTTTATATACAAAAAGGGTAGTGAAGGTCCAAAAGTACCAAAATTTGATTTTATTCTAAAAGGACAATAGTTGTGTTTTTCGGTCCTCTTTTGGCAAATTTCCCAATTTTTTTTTGGGTGTGATTGAAATGAATCACAAAAGGTGGTATTTATAGAAATTTTCGAATCTGGTATAGGTGAACATTTACTAGGAACTTACGAGGAAAAATAGGTACAAAAGACGTTTTTAGATTTAAAATAGAAATTTTCTAGCCAGCTCCTCGCTAATTAGAACTAAAAGAACATTTTCTCCTAATTTCGTAGTAATTTTTACGTTGACTTTACGAGAAAAAAATAAATAACATAGTTTCGTCGCTAAAGCACATTAAATGATTTTCTCGTAAAACCGATGTAAAGCTTTACTACGAAATTATGAGGAAATGTCTTTTGCCACGTAGTTTCCTCGTAATTTTATTACGGTTTTAAGAGGAAACATTTTTCTTGTTTATTTACGAAGAAATTATTTTGCTTTTGTCTTTCCTCGTAAAATCGTAGTAATTTCGTCCTAAATTTACGAGGAATGAGTTTCCTAGTAAAATTTCCAAGTAAATTCGGAGTTTTTTTTGTAGTGTTTGGAAATGCTCTTAAGTATATTTTTGTTCATCAATCCTTAAAGAGCTGCAGCTTCATCCCACTATCTCACGGAACTATATGTGTTGCTGAGCAGCATATAAGCTGATGAGTTCGAGGACCCAGAGTTATGAGTTTCTCTGCTATTCTTCTAGCTGAGCTCACATCACATCGCCATGGATTCTATACATGAACTATAAAGTACAATCTCCCCGTGGATTATGCAAGCGCCTCTGCATCTTCAAGCCGGCCAGCTCTTCCAAGAAAGTCAACTATACAGATGTGATGATCTAGCTCCAGTCAACTACCGTGCTCCCTCTGCATCGAACTAAATAGTATTACAAGGCATGCATCCACTAGTCATGAGTGGCTACAAGCCCGGTAATATGTTGTACCACGACACTATTAACAAACAACGAATATTTTGCGTATAAATCAAGTATGATATGCATTACTAAACTAAAATACAATGATAACAACTGATAAAATATGTTTGAATCCGATCATTACTAAGATAAATGAAAAATCTATCTGAAATTTGATATTGCATAAATTCAATCGAGAAAATGAAAAACAAGAGAAAAAAAAAAGTAATAAGTCGGAAAATAAACTTGTTTAATGAAAAATCAAGAAGGGACGACAACAGTGCGCATCATGTTCTTGAACTCGAAAAAGTCAACGCGACCATCATGGTTGCGGTCAACGGAGTCAATCATCTTCTCCACTCTCTCCATCTCTCCTCCTTCAGGCAACCCAAGCTTGTTCAAAACGACCTGCAACTCCCTAGCGGAGATAAACCCGTCGCCGTTCTCGTCGAACACCTTAAACGCCTCCACGAGATCCGACTCCTCTGCGTCCTCCGGAGAGGACTCATCGCACGCTCCCGCTCCGCCGAAGAAGGAGTCGTCGAGGGTCTTGTGGAGGGAGGAGAAGTCGTCGAAGTTGAGAGCGGTGTTTCCAGGCTGGATGTAGGACTCGACGGTGGATTTGAGGTCGGAGAGATCGGCGTCGAGACCGAGACGGGAGAGAGCTTGGTTTAGCTCCTCGATGGTGATGAAACCGTCGCCGTTTTTGTCGAATAAGTCGAAAATGCGTTGGAGGCGGAGAGCGTTTAGGCTTGGGCTTCGGAGCCTGAAGGATGATGATTGTCTCTCCACTTTTTTGCTCTCCTCGCCGTTGCTCTCCATTATCTTCTTCTTCTTTGTGGAGTCGAAATGGTGATGGAGTCTAGTTATAGAAAAAAAATTACAAAGGGAACAAGTCCGTTATTGCCGGCGTTGACTTTGTCTGCCCCACCATGTACGAACTGGGCCATTTAAACCCATTAAGGGAAGAGAAATTAATTCACATTAAATACGAGATTAATTGCCTTACATGATGGACTGGTCTAGTACTTTGCAGATTATTATAAAAACTGAAATTGCTTCAAGTTGAGATAATACACATTATGTAACTGTCGTTGGCTTTTTCAATGGGAAACAGACAAGTCACGTCGTGGTAGTTATCAAATTTAATTGGAAATGTTTCCATTTGCCAACTAGTCTCATGGGTGGTTTTAGATATCAGAAGCTTCCGAGTTTTTGACCCGTTCACATGAGCCAGGCTGGGTCGAGAGAACCCACAAAACCATGAATCCTAGTCCAGCTTTAGCTCATTAAAGCCCACTTACAAATATTATCCCTCTTTTTTTGTCATCCGCTGGACTAACAAAACCTGATCGATCCATTACCAGTCCTACAATGCTGGAAAACATTATTTAGTGGAGTCAAATTCTGGTGAGGAAAACCGAAAAAGTAACATATATATAACCACTTGACTAAACACATTTCCTCAGTACATAACATATTTAGCATATTCTAGTGTGGGTGAGTGTTTGGTTTGAGTTCTGATGGAATGGATACATCCCAGTTAGAGTTTTACAAGATATTCTTGACATTTATTTGCCCGAAATGATGATAGATAAATCACATAGCAAACATGATTATATTTTGTTTGAGTATCTTATCCACAAAGCAAAGTGTTACTGTTTTTATTTTCGTTATTTAAAATTTTCCTAATCATTTATAGGTTGTAATTGTCGATTTCATTGACAACAATGTAACTTTAGGTTCAATTTAATAGACCTTAAGAAAAAAATCATAGAAGTTTCAATTTTGACTAAGAAATAGAACGCACAAATATGTCTTTCGACTCTAACGCGATAAAACTATTAAAAATCAAAACAAAAGAGTAAAGCTTCAATTCTTCCATACCCCTTACCTAATTACACATTTTAATGATGCCTTGAGCTAGACTCATACAAAGAAACCACCGTGTCATATATCTGCGTGAAGCTTGGTTGCCTCAACGGTGGTTTTTCAGTACACATAAGTCCAAGTGTAATCGCTTCCTTAACTTTCTCCAAAGTCCTCTCTTCAATCTTCAGCTTCTCATCAACCACTCTCTCTGCATTATCCGGACAATGAACTCTTATATACTCAAGATACCTCCTTTCTGAATCTTCTTGTTCCTCATCAGGTTTTAGGTTTGTAATCATCTCCAAAAGAAACAATCCAAAGTTGAATATATCTGTAAATAATAACAACACACACTTTTAACAAAATTCATGTTTTCAAGAGGAAGAAGAAAAGAGCAATTACTTGTTGATGAGTTGTTTCCCTCTCCAATCTTGAATCGAGAAACCAGTGGTTCTTGACCATCATCAGCTAACAAAACACTGCTTGTGTTCAGATCAAATGCAATCTCAGGCCATTGCTCCGATAGATAAGAAAAACCTTCTAAAACTCCCATAACCACTCTTAACCTCCTTCTCCATGAAGAAGCCAATGAAGAATCTAGCCAAGTCCTAACGTTTTCTCCATTAGTCCACTCAGTAACCAAAGCTCTCAAGTTTCTGCTATTACACCAACCCAAAACCCTTACCAAATTCTTATGTCTTAGCTTCAAAACCGCCTCGCATTCCTCTTCGAACTCAAGCCTTTTCGCCTTCGAAACCTTCTCTGTATACACCTCGATCTTCGCCTCTGTCCCGTCTCTTAACGTTCCTCTATAGATATCCACTCCATTGCTCTTCCCCACAAGTCTCTGATCCGAAAACTCATCAGTAGCTGCATCGATCATCGCGGATGTGAACTTGTGACTTCTCCTGCACGTTCTTGGTAAGTAATCAGGTCTTTTTAGACATAACCATCCCAAGCAACAAGAGAGAAGGAGCACCACTATAGGAAACACAATCAACAAGACCAAAACCTTCATCTTGTAACGCTTAACATCTGGAAGTAAACCGGAATGTATAAAACTAGAGGCGTTAAACCGTTTCAAGAACTCGTTATCATCCTCCGAAAACCGGTTATAAGAGAGATTCAAATGGGTCAAGTTAGTTAACCGGGAGAGACTCTGAATCGGAACAGAACCGGTTAACTGATTATAACTCAGATCAAGGGTCCGAATCTGAGCACAAGACAGAAGGTTTGTTGGAAACTCACTCTTGAGAGAGTTGTTCACGAGATCGATTTCGATGACGGTGAGAGGACAGTACTTCCAGAAGAAGTCGAAAGAGAGGTAGAGAGCAGCGGTTTTAGGACGGTTATGGATTCTGATCTTTGGGAAGGATTCAACGCAGTTAGGGTTTTTGGACTCGTTGCAGAGATGGCTTGCGACGATCGTGGAGCGGAAGATCTCGGCGATGTCCATGGGAGAAGAAGTGGTGTTGTTGCAGTAACGCAGTAGAGGATTATGGAGGCAGTTTGTGGTAATGGTGGTGATGAAGTCAGGAGGTGGAGTAAGAGTAGCGAGATCTTCGAGTACTGTGGCTGAGAGGACAGAGAGAGGAAGAAAGTGTGCGAGGAAAGTGAGGAAGAGGATGAAGAGAGAAGACGCCATTGCAGAGTTTTTTTTTTGTGTTTACGTGAGAGAGAAGCTATGAGAGGTTGTTTATGTGGTTGTGGTATATGAGGTGTTGTTGGCGGTTATTTTGAAACAGAGTGGTGATCGTGTGCTTGGAAGCTGTAATGTTTATTTCAAATATCTGTATTCTGTGGGGAAAATTGGGAGAAATAAAATAACATTTTCAGGGTTCAGACAGGTGAACATGTGACCAATGAAAATCTGAACAAAGTTTTATATGAGAAACTGGAAAATTAAAATATTAAAAAATGGGTTTCATCAAAATTGAATAGAAGTTATTATTTGTAAATGCCTCTTTAAATAGAAAAAGGAGTACAATTGAATCTAGTGCTAATAATTTAACTAAATTTTAACTTAATTGATACAAAAGTTGAAAATAACTAATTAATTCATCAGTACTATATATTTGTTTTTAAATAGCTACCAAATTAACTCTTTTTTTTTTGGTCAAAACCAAATTAACTCTTAAGCTCGACTGTTTTAAATAGTCACCAACAAAAGCTTAGAATTTCTTTAGGCACGAGCAGAATATTCCTCCTCTTAGTGCAATGTATAATCTGAACTATTATGGACCTGACTTGGTTCTCCCGCCATCACCCGCAAACGCAGCTTTTGCGGTTACTAGCGGTTGTTGGCGTTTTGCAACAATCACATAAAACGCTATAAACCGCTTCAAATCGCTCTGAATCTCTAAACTTCAAAAACTTATTCCAGCTAGCGTTTGCGGTTGTGGGAGATTGCGGGAGGATAAAAAATATTTTTTTTAGAAAACTATATAAATATAAAAATAAAATATTCAATTAAAATTTTAAATTAAAATAATTGAAATACTGAAATATTTATATTATAATATTTCCAAAAAATATTTTCTTTAATTTTTTAAAAATTTAATAGTGCATTTTTTCAATTAAGATTTTATATTTATCATGAAAATATGATTTTAATATTTTGATAATTATATAAAATATAAATATTCTTAATTTATTACTTAACCGTTGTTGTATTTGATGATAAACCAGTCATAAGTATCCCGCAAACGCAACAATTTTTAACCGTTGAACCAGTCGTATAAATCTTTTACTAACACTTAAAACCACAATCTCCCGCATCCGCAAACGCCCGCAACTGCAACCACAACCGCTGCGTTGTAACCAGTCAAACATAAGTCATTTTTTTTAAGTTCCCTTTTCTTTTGCAAGTATTTACAGCCAAAGCTACTGCATTATTTTTTAAGCTATACTTTATATTAAAGCGGTTTTACCCGATTAAAGTGGTTTTGACCCGATGGAATATATTGACAAAATCTTATTAGTCCAACCGTCCAGATTCTGTTTTGAAAATAATTCTATGTCACTGGAATATTTTAAAGCCATGGTTTTGATTAAATGTTTTTATTTTTATTTTTAAATCACAACAAACAATCTCCTAATTCCATGTAATCTTAATTAAACATATGTAACTATAGTATATGAAATCATATCTATATGTGGCTATATGAACTAATAATATATATATTTAAGGTTTAATACCTATGGTTTAATCCGAGAAAACATGAATACAAGATCAGAAGGTCTTTTTTGAGTCACCCTTCTCTTTTGAAATTATTTACAATATATTGCCACTGCCTTAATATAAATATATACTTTTTATCAGCTTAATATAAATCACTGCATTTATTAATATTTCTAAGATATAATTAATATTTTTATCGCTTTTGTAGCTACCTCCGATTCAATTAATCCGTTTCTATAAATGTAACATCTATAATTATATGTTATCAAGTGTGTACTGTATTTCCTATTTATGATGTGTTTTCTGATATACAATATGAATCAATTTGTTTTTATTTGAATAATAACATATTATTGATAGTTAATCATGTTAATCTATTATTAAAATAGTCATGATAAATTAAACCACAAATTAGTTTCTGAATAATTTATGTCATCCAATACATATTTGAGGTTGAACATTAATAGAATTCACATATATATTTTTCATCCAATACATATTTATGTTTAATATTTCATATGTTATCCCATACATATTTATGTCATCCCACGTATACTGGTTCAAAATCTTTCCCAAATCAAATTTATATATGCATCATTATATTTTAAATATTGAACAATTTAATATCAAATAACAACAACAATAGAATCTAAATTTGTATCAGTATATCCAAGAATATGTACTTATTATGCTTTTTTATTTATATTAACATAAATATTTAGAATTTCCAACAACTAAATATCGACATACAACAACAATATAATCTATATTTATATCATTATAACTGAATATTTGAAATTATAAAAATTAATGATTGGTTTACACAAAATATATTCCGATAAGATGCTACTATCAATAACAGAAACTAATATATCCTTCTTTATTCATAATTTAAAACCCGTATTTTAGATTTATATCCAAGATATGCAATACTTTTACTATATTCAATTGACTTTAAATATAAAATCTATCGTGTATGACCTTTCTTACATATACCACACGTCTTCTATGTTTTATCTCACAAAACACCTTCTTCCTTTTAAACAAAGAGCATAAAATGTCATCGAAGCAACATGTTTCTTACCTTGATCAAGTTAAGCCATGGAAAACGACTCGGTTGGTCCAAGTGAATGTGATCCACGTCTGGAAGCCATCCATCACCAGTTTTGGTCAGACTCTGGAAATCATATTTACAGACAAAAATATTTATTGTCGGAATCCTGTAACCCAACATATATGAATAGGTAATACCTTGACTTAACCGTTAGTAGGAACAGTGAATCACATTGGGGATTAAGATTTACGGTGGATTGCAGGTGAGTTTTTCGTGGAACACCACCCAATATCTTCAATCATCATTACAGATAAGTTATTTTTTCTTATGTTATAAACTTATAAGTTGTTTTAAACAGACACAAAAAAAAAACATGGAAACTATTTCCGTGAAGATAAAAAATTGTATTTGGCTTGAAATTATGTTTTTAATCTGGGATATGTTACTACTGGGTTTTGTATTTAAAAAGCAAAAATATATTAGTGATACAGAAATTTATAGTATAAGATTTTTCTTTGCCATTGACTAACTCATCCCATATTAATAATGTATACAAGTTTTGAACCGACAACCTAAAATTTATAAATTATAAACATTACTTATTATTTATTTGTTTGACTTGGTTAATATAATAAAATTTGTTATCCTATTTTATGTAACTGTAAAATTTAAATTTTTTGCCCCTTTAAGCAATTAGAACATTTATTACTTGAAGAGCTACTTCTAATATTTCTTCATCTAAAAATAAATATTAAGATAAATTTTATACATAATTATATATTAAAAATCTATATTATTAAAAAAATATCTTTTTAGTATCTTTATGTTTTACATATATTTACAAAATCATATTCCTTAAAAACTGTCTATTGTCGTTTCCATTATAAACTAATAAATAATTAATAGTGTTATTAATAAAAGACAATCTCGTGCTTTCAAAGCGCGGGTCAAATAATCAATAATATTAAAATACAAGGTTTTTTTAGATGTCCTTTTATTTCAATAATATTTAAAATATTCTGCCACTAAAATATTTTTAAGCTATGATTGTATTAAATTCTGTATTTTTCTAATTTCCTTTTAATGCAACAGCAAGACAACACTTTTATTCCTCAAATATCATCGACGCATTTAAATCCTCCAAGTTTTGGTTGACCTTACGGTTGGTCAAATATTCTGGATCTTTTTGGATATTTTGTGTTCTTTCCCAAATCAAAACAAAAAAACCCTATTTTTTTATTTTCTGTTTCAAACTCAAATCCTAAATAGATAAGTAGAAAATTAAAAATCTACTACAAATTGATCCAAATGATATCTTTTGGTTATCGGATTGTTTAGTCCAACATATAATTTCTCACGTTACCTATTTTAGTAGGTAAAAAAATAAACCATACATTGGATCAGAAATTTATAGTATAGTACTTTTTCTTTGCCATTGACTAACTCATCCCATATTAATAATGTATACAAGTTTTGAACCGACAACCTAAAATTTATAAATTATAAAAATTACTTATTATTTATTTGTTTAACTTGGTTAAGATAATAATTTTTTTTTCCTATTTTATGTAACTGTAAAAATTAAATATTTTGCCCCTTTAAGCAATTAGAACATTTATTACTTGAAGAGCTACTTTCATTTAAATAAATATTTCTTCATCTAAAAATAAGTATTAAAATAAATTTTATACATAATTATATATTAAAAATCTATATTATTAAAAACAATATTTTTAGTATCTTTATGTTTTACATATATTTACAAAATAATATTCCTTATAAATGGTCTATTGTCGTTTCTATTATAAACTAATAAATAAATTAATAGTGTTATTAATAAAAGACAATCCCGCACTTTCAAAGCGCGGGTCCAATAATCAATACTATTAAAATACAAGGTTTTTTTATGTCCTTTTATTTCAATAATATTTACAAGATTTTGTCACTAAAATATTAATAAGCTATGATTTTATTAGATTCTGTATTTTTCTAATTTCCTTTTAATGCAACAGAAAGGCAACACTTTTATTCCTCAAATATCATCGACGCATTTAAATCCTCCGAGTTTTGGTTGACCTTATGTTGGTAAAATATTCTGGATCTTTTTGGATATTTTGTGTTCTTTCCCAAATCAAAACCAAAAAAACCCTAATTTTTTTTTTCTAATTCAAACTCAAATCCTAAATAGATGACTAGTAAATTAAAAATTTGCTACAAATCGATCCAAATGATATCGTTTGGTTATCGGATTGTTTAGTCCAACATATAATTTCTCACGTTACCTATTTTAGTAGGTAAAAAAATAAACCATACATTGGATCAAAATTTACAAAACCCATTTTAAATTGCAGGAAAAACTATTATGTGTAAGCATTATTATCATTATATATTAGTCAAATCATGAAAATTT